TTGATAAATTAATTTAACAATGGTATGCAACTATTTTATAGAATTCCAGAATTCAAGCATCTTAATAGGTTTCTAGTTTCAATCGCTCTATAGAAATCAAACTGATCATTTTCAGAACCATCTTTGGATGGATCATGAGAATACGAACAAGTATTTAAGCGTTATTTAAATACTTCTTGTATTTTAATAATATTAGGGATGATCGACCTACTTAGGTCATATTCTATAAACCTCAATGGCGTTATAGCATATAAAGCTTCACCGGTATCTTCAGAAGTTATCCAAGGCATTCACTTAATCCAAGTCATGAGGGTATTTATGTCAATTTGGTATTTGAGGTTGATTTATTCATTTTGGAACTTAATGTGTTTGGTTCACGTAATGTAAGATTACCAGTGGGAATGTAAGATTACCAGGGAATAAGATTACTGGGAATGTTGTATTTTGTGTTCGGTTGGTTTAGCAAGAATGTAAGATTACCGTGTTTGGTTAAAGGAATAAAAGATTATTGGAATGTATATTTGACCAAATTGTCCTTATTATATATTTGTTTTTTAATAAATTAGAAAATATTTATATATTTGCTTTAAAAATTTTAAATTCATAAAATTTATATAATTTTTTTACAAAATTAAAAATATAAAAAGGTTTAATGAAAGGGTAAAATTTTATTTTAATCCCTGAACTTCATATAAAATTTTAATTATAGACATTTTTTGTAAATCTAAAATAGTTTAAGGATAAATTTGTAATTTAACATTCGTAAAAATTTTATTATTCAATGACAGAATAATGATATTTTTGAAGAAAAAAAATTAAGGGCATTTTAGTCTAAAACGCCGGTAATCCAACATGAGGAAAGGGAGGTAATGGCATTCCCCGGTAATATACCCCAAATAATCCACTATTGGTAATCTTACATTACCGAGAATGAGATTCCCAGCTAACCAAACGGGGGAATATTGATTTTATTCCCATGAGAATCTCACATTCCCCCATCTAAGGGTGCGTTTGGTTCACGGAATGTAAGATTACCAGTGGGAATAAAAAATTACCAGGGAATAGGATTACTGAGAATGTTGTATTTTGTATTTGGTTGGTTTGGCAGGAATATAAGATTACCGTGTTTGGTTTATAAGAATAAGAGTGCGTTTGGTTCACGGAATATAAGATTACTAATGGGAATAAGATTATCGGCAGGAATAAGATTATTGAGAATGTTGTATTTTGTGTTTGGTTCGTTTAACAAGAATGTAAGATTATCGTATTTTGTTAAATGAATAAAATATAATTAGAATATATTTTATCAAATTGTCCTTATTATATATTTATTTTTTAACAAGTTGAATTCTACTATAATTAATTTATATATTTTCTTTAAAAAATTAAATTCATAAAATTTATATAATTTTTTTACAAAATTGACAAGATAAATAGGTTTAATGAAAGAGTAAAATTTTATTTTAACCCTTGAACTTAATATAAAATTCTAATTATTGACTTTTTTTGTAAATCTAAAATAATTTAAGGATAAATTTGTAATTTAACATTCGTAGATTTTTTTTATTCAACGACAGAAGAATGATATTTTTGGGAAAAAAAATTAAGGGCATTTTAGTCCAAAATGCATGTAATCCAACAATACCTAAGGAAATGGAGGTAATCACATTCCCGGTAATATACCCCCCAAAATATCACTGTTGGTAATAAAAGATTACCGGGGGCTGAAAATGTTGACCAACTAATGGGGGAATGATATTTCATTCCCCTGGTAATAAGATATAACCTGAACCAAACACCCCCTAAAAGATTATTGGAATGTATATTTGACTAAATTGTCCTTATTATATATTTATTTTTTTAACAAGTTGGAAAATATTTATATATTTTCTTTAAAAAAATTAAATTCATAAAATTTATATACTTTCTTTTACAAAATTTAAAATATAAAAAATTTTAACCCGTGAACTTCATATAAAATTTTAATTATAGATTTTTTTTTGTAAATCTAAAATAGTTTAAGGATAAATTTATAATTTAACATTCGTAGAATTTTTATTATTCAATGACAGAAGAATGATATTTTTGAAAATTTTTAAGGGCATTTTAGTCCAAAACGCCGGTAATCCAACAATACCTAAGGGAAGGGGTAATGACATTCCATGTAATATACCCAAAAAATCCACTATTGGTAATAAAACATTACCAGGAATGAGATTTCCGACCAACCAAACGGGGGAATGTGGATTCCCATGGGAATCCCACATTCCCCGAACCAAACAGCCCCTAAGGGTATTTAGTCATTCCAGGGCTTGGAGGTACTTTGGGTCATTTTACACTTAAGGGGTATTTTGGTAATTTCTTTCAGTCAAAATTTTCCACTTAATTCAATTTTCTGAACAATTCAAACTTAAATATTACTCTCAATGTTTTAGTCTTTAGGATTTTATTCAAGAATCAAAATTCTAAGTCTTTTACCATCTCAAAGGTTATGATCGATTAACATGGTTATTTTCACTTTCAGGGACAATCCTTGTCTTTTACATCATACGAGTATTTTCATAGTTTATTCTCCAAGTATTTCTGAAATTTAATCTTTAAAGAGATTAATCATAATTTACGAGTCTTGAGATTAATTGATTTACTGATTAAATCACTGAACTTAGATTTATCTCTTAACGATATTCTAGTTCCTTACACGAGTCAATTGAGTCTTATTGGGTTTACTAACTTTATATTGTATTCAATGTGAGTCCATCAATAATTAACTCTATTTAATTGACTAATAACTCCAATCATGCATTAACAAAACACCAACATGTACCATAAAGTATGTATATAGTAGATAAAATATTATCTTGATTTTTGAGCCACATTGATTAACCAATAAACTCTATTTGATCGCCCTCAAACTTTAATTCCACGTCCCATAATGTCTCGGATACATGGCCAAACCATTAGAAACATAACTTAAACATGAAAATTTGTATTAAATTGAGAGATAAAATGTCAAAAAATAGCTTACCAATTTTGAATTTGGCAAAACAGACTTCTGATTTGGACTTAGGACATCGAAAAATATAAAAATATGACTTTTTGGAAAATTTGACTTTTTGGTAAAAGTCAACGATCAACGGGCAGGTCAAAGTTAACGGTTCAGGTCAAGGTGAATGAGTTAGACTTGTTCTGGTTGACTCATGCCAGTTCTGTCTGAGTTGACTCGGTTTGGTCAAATAGATCGGTTCATATCGGGTTGGGTCTGTTTGGTTCACCTGGACCGTTTCTAGAAGAACCATGGCTGGAGGAGGAGCCCCACGCACACGCAACGACGCGTGGTCGCACATGCAACGGTGATGGGGTCGTTGACAGCGACCGAGAACTCCGAAAACAGCCAAACACCAAAATTGATCCACAAATAGCCCAATATTCAACAAGAACAATTTAAACCAACCCGAAAAATCATTCGAACCTTACCCAAATTGGCGATGGGACGATTTCGGACGACGAACCCGGTCGTGTTTCGAGTAGACGATGGTGGAGAAGCTAACGATATAGGTGATGAGGTCAGAGGACGACTAGATCGGAGGTAATTGGGGGAAACGGTGGCGACGCAAGAGTTCTCTCCTTCGATTTATGACGATCGGTGAATGATTGGGGTCGTTGATGATTGAGGATGGGTCGTTGGAGGATGCCAGTTCGTCTAGTGGAGTCAAAACACCACATTGGCGGCCAGAGCAGACGAATCGGCGAATGGAGATAGACGTTGGGGGTTAGGGTAAAAAATGTGGGGATTTTGTCACACTAGGGGGTTTCGATTTTGGAGATTTTGGGTATATAACCCGAGACAAAACAATTAAATAATATATTTATTAAATTATACTTAAACAGTGACCTACGGTAGATGGTAGAGGGATGGTTGACCATACCTTAGAACACGAGTTTAAACCATCTTAGCCACTAACTTCTCATTTTTTTTTATTTTCCACTAACCAGAAAAAATGGAAAAATTCAATGGTTTAGTCCATAAACTTCCCAAACTTACGAGATTGACCCAAAATCTTTCAAAACTACCCATTATGATCCTTTAATTAAATTAAATAAATTTTACCATAGAAATTTAGGGTGTAACAAAATCAACTTTACCATAATCTTTCAAAATTGCCTATTATGATCCCTTAATTAAATTAATTTTACCTTAGAAATTTAGGGTGTAACAAAATCAACTTTATTTTTGTATGTTGATGAAATGACAGTCAAATTAGATGATACACAAGAAATTGATAATTTCAATATATATAATTAAACTTTCAAGTTAAAGGTCTCGAGAAACTTTAATAATTGGAATGAAAATTACTAAGAATACAAAAATCAATTTCATTTTTCAAAGAAAGTATGTTTTTGATCTCTAAAAGAAAACTAGGAAACTTGGTGCAAACTTATAGTAACTCTTGAACAAAATAAAAAATAAAAGCTTATAGAGAGTAATCCTCTGATAAATATAATGAAGTAACTTGGTAGGGAAGATGATAAACTTGTCACACATTAAATTTGATGTTTCTTATAATGTAAACTTTTTTGTAATTTTTTTATTATGACACTCTTTACCCTATCATTTAAAAAAATATAAGATATTACAAGTTGATAAAGAAAATATATTTTTTACTTAACCATGAATCAAATTTTAACATATAACATTACGAGATCATAGTTTAAATGTTTACTTACATAAAATTCTAGACGTTTAAATAGATGAATTGCAGTATGAAATAAATAAAGATGATAAAATATCCATCAACATAATTATCTTACATGATCAAATAATGTCAATTTAATCGATTTAACATGTAATGATATCATTCTATTATCTCCAATAATAAGTGTTAATGATAAGTGATAAATTTATTATAAATATTTAAATATCAATAATTATTTATATTTATGTAATTTACCCTACTTTAAATCAACTTGATTGATCTAAATTATAAAGAAAAATAACTCTAAAATCCAATTCGAGAGATCGCATCTAGCAAATCGGACGAGTAGCTCGACTCTGCGTAAATTAAGCATATTTCAAAGCTCTATGGTATTGCCCGACTTCAGTTGCAAACTTCTAGCTTTCTATCTCTTTCAGTTTCAGGCTGGAAAAAGTAACTCTTACATTTTCTTATGAAGTTCTCCAGCGATGATAATTAACTACAGGTAATCTACTTCTTTAATCCAATTACTAAAATCATTTTGTTCCAATTTCTTAGCTTTCTCATTATTCTTCCTTTGATTGTCTAACAGTACGAGAGAAGTTATAAGCTTCTCTTTTTGGATACTGTTGAGTATTTTTTTTACTGATTTTACGGGTCTTCTCTGAATCTTTGCTCTGATTAGGTTTGGGATTCTAAAGCTTTGAAGGATTCTTTGGATTTTGATATGATAATTGCTCATAAATTATTTTTTGGTCGATTCGGTTGTTTTCCCAGGTTCTCAATACTCTTTTCTTGAACTAATAAGAACGGAGCCGTTAAAATTTACAACTTTTTAGGGTTTGTTTAATTGATCTGTTTGAGAGAGAAACTTGGTTTGACTAATTGAATTGGATCAGTGAAGCTGGGTTTTGTTGTATTGAATATTCAACTAGCTGATAAACAATGGAAATTTGAGTTTGTTTTTCTGTGTTTTTCGTGCAAGTAAACAACAGATTGGGGGGTTGGATTTCGGACTAGATGGATGATTCGGGTCTGAGAGGCGGGTTTTTATCAGGTCCGAGACAAGGGCTGTTCGATATTGAGTCATCCATTCACAGAGATCAACAACCCCAGTTGGGTCAACCTTCCATGGTGCCAAACAATCATATGTTCATGATGACTGACCTTGAAAACTCGAACCATACCATTGGATTAATGGAGGCAAAAGGCTTGAACTGGAAAGGCTTTTCGACGAATGTCGTTAAAGTGAAGGGAGTTGGTCCCATTATTTCTATGACGGATGGAAGCATGAGTGAAGAAGACGAGCCAAATTACAATGAAGATGGAAATGGTGAGAATTCCAATGGGGGTAAATGCAAGGATGGATGGCCATGGAAGAGAATGAAATGGACCGATAATGTGGTTAGGCTTCTAATTGCTGTTGTTTCTTGTGTGGGAGATGATGGTATGATTGAGGGTGCAGAAGGACTTAAACGAAAATCGGGGTTTCTGCAAAAGAAGGGTAAGTGGAAAACAGTATCAAAAATAATGATCAGTAAAGGTTCTCATGTTTCACCTCAACAATGTGAGGATAAATTTAATGACATGAACAAGAGATATAAGAAATTGAATGATATTCTTGGGAGAGGAACTAGTTGTAGAGTGGTTGAGAATCCTTCTCTAATGGACTCGATGCCTCACCTCTCGCGTAAGGCCAAGGAAGACGTGAAGAAGATTTTGAGCTCGAAACATTTATTTTACCAAGAAATGTGTGCTTACCATAATGGACAGAGTATACCCAATTGCCAGGATCTTGATCTCCAGGGATGCATACTTCCTAAGAGATGCTTGAAAGACAATAACAGGTCTGAGGAGGAAGAAGATGACAGTGAGGATAATGATGATGAAATGGACAATGAAGATGATAATAATGCTATTTGTGGGGAAAGGATCCATGAGCTCAATGAGAGGAAGAAAGCAAGTGCAGAGGAAGGTCATTTCCAACCGCAATGTGCTGGCCATGACAATTTTGATTTAGAGATAGGAGTATTTCAAGACTCTACAAGGTCATCATTTGTGCGAAAGGATTGGATCAAGAGACAGATGCTGCAACTTCACGAGGAACGGGTGAAGTTACAGTCGGAAGCTGTTGAGCTTGAAAAACAACGACTTAAATGGCTGAGGTACTGTGATAAGAAAGATCGAGAACTACAGAGGTTAAGGCTGGAGAACGAGAGGACGGCACTTGAGAATAAACAGAGTATATTGCAACTTAGGCAAAAAGAACTTGAAATAGGTTATAGGAGGTCTGATTCATCCTTAGAACCCACTTCACACGGCATTGATAGACTGCAAGGCGAGGGTCAGATTGATATGTGCAACCATTAGTATCTCTTATCACATTTAAATCCATTTGGCAGTAAGACTTGGCTAAGGCATACAAGGTAGACTTCCACTTCCTCTTTAGCCATGTAAATATAAAGAAGCATGCTATTCTTGTGAGGTAATCCACTCTGAGATGAAATGATAAATAAATGTATTTTTCTCACCTTTTATGTATATCAACAAACTTAACATGTTCTATATATTTATATAATTTTTGATAAATTAAAAAATATTTCTATGTAGAGTTTGGTTTATTAGTCTTTTGTGCTATGTTTATATTTTATGTGTCATGTGATTTTTGGATCATTTTTCATGTTTGGTTAAAAGTTAATAGATTTTGTATATTATATTCAAATAATTTGTATTTTTTTATTAGATATCATATAATAATTGAAGTTATTATTTGTTTAAATCTATTAGTTTATATTTGAGTTTTTCGTATATAAAGATATAACAAGTACTAGTTGTTTTGATAAAAAGTTTATGTTAATAAAAGATAAATTACAAATGAAGAATAAAAGATAAATATTACGATGATGCTAGTAGAACAAGACATTTCTTATTGTTGTGCTTTGGGTTTTTACAATGATGACATCGTTTTGGTCGTCTGATCTTTTTCTGATCCATATCAGAACAAATTTTAATTGATGTTGGATAACCTTTCGGATTGTGATACAATGAAGGACCTTATAGCATTGTAGGCTCGTTATCAATTTCATTCCATTCTCATTCATTAGCATATTTATATACCTTGAATATGGTCTCAAGTATGTATATGTTATCAATGTATGTCATGTAATCAACGTGGACAGGTAAACATGTAACAATGACGTGTAGGTATGAATATTTGGGTGTTTAAATGACTTCACAATCATACTAATGTTTAAGTAGATTAAGTTGATGCGAGTTTTACGATATACTTTCCAAAGGACGTATTAACTCAAAATATACAATTTGTGCATGAAAAATATTGAATGAATATCTTGTTCGATTTTACTACATATGCATCTAGGAAATCTTTTAAGATTTGGATTGACAACATACTCGTCACCCATTCAAAAAACTACTTCTCCTCTGAGGGTCTCGAATATGTTGCTTTGATGACATAAGTTATAGGCAAACGGTGCGTCTCCTTCAAAGATGAATTGATTGTCTTGACCAAGTTAGTAGTCATATGATCATATCGATGATCCTCATCATATGCCTTACTCCATTTATCTCTAGGGATGGGAGTAATGTAGTCATAATCATCTTTATTTTTTTCATTTCAATTCTTTTAACATATCCTCAAATTGTTTTGGAAGTAATTTTTGACCCTAGTAATTCAAGAGCAATTAGTTATAGAGAAATAATAAACAGAATGATAATTATATTGAAAATAATAAAAGATGCACTCATGCAGTTCCCAGATCAGAAATTGACGTTAATAATCCTTTTCATACTTTCCATGATAAGTTACTCTATGTCGTGTACAATAGTAATGAAAGATATGTGGAAGTTACCAAGATCGTCCTAACCAACCATTTGCTATTTTAATCTTAATTCTTCTATTAAAAAAATATGCATGTCATTTTTTTTAACAGCATATATGCGTAAGTTGTTGAGAAAAAATTGTCATGAGTTGACATCCTTATTCTCAACTGGCAAAGAGTATTGAAAGATTTTCAATTTTCGTCATATACAACGGTCAATAATAATGTCTAGGTGTGTTTTCTATAAATCTATGTGCCATCAATTTAGATCAGTGACTTACAGTATTGAAAAACATTAATGCACTGAGAAAATATCCAAAAAGCCTTACAAAATTGACACATACCAAGCATAACAGAATCATTGTAGTACGCCGAGACGATATCAAATTTGACAAGGGCTTCAGGGATATTTTTTTGCATAATCTTAAATCAACTTTGTAGTTATCTGTAAAATTCATCTCACTCACTGTACAGTTCTACAATTGTGTTTGTTTACCATATTTTCTTATAACATATGATGTAGCTATATTGAGATTTACAGTTGTTGCCAATACTGGAACACTTACTTGAGGGATTGCTTTCACCAATAGTAGAATGATATCATAAATTATTTTAGATTTCAAATTATATAGTTATTTCTCATATGTGATTGTTATTTTTCTTTTTTAATTCTTAGATCATTTAATTATAATTATAAATTTGTTTAACACGTTCGTAAATATATTTGACACGACTATAAAAATTATCATAGTGATATATGTTATAATTATTTACAGTAAAAAGTGTAATATCTTTGTTTAAAACTCTATTTCAACGCACAATTCACTACACTAATAGTGACATTAAAGTTAAATTGATCCAAATTTGATATTTCGGAAAATTCTTTTTTTTTTTGAAGTGGTAAAATCTTATATTCCAATAGCATCATCAATAACAACTTGTTTGATACAATCAGGTTTATCAAAGTAAAACCAAACTGGATTGTTGTTCGATAAAGCCAAATGCGCAAGAGAATGGGCGACACGGTTAGCTTCCCTACATACATAATGCACTTTAATAGTAGGAAATCTAACTAACATTTGTCTAGCCTCATTGAGCAGCAATCCAATTGTAGAGAAATCCTGAATCTTTCCCGTCACCTGATTAGCCAACCTGTGGACAATGGATATGGCATCACCTTCAATAACAACTTTATTCCACCCATTCTCGGAAGCCAACCGAATGCCTTTCGTAAACGCAGCAGCTTCTGATGACTCGGCCGAAAACGGAGGCTCAATCTTCTTAGCTAAACCCCCAATCACCATACCATACGAGTCCCTAGCCACAACACCAATGGCCGCAACTCTAGAATCCTTGCAAAAAGCCCCATCCATATTAATCTTCACTTTATCCTGAACCGACTTTAACCAAACCCGTTGACGGCGGATAACTTCATCATCCCTTGAAGCCCCACATGCCTTAGACACACTATTGAACTCCCCATCAAACTCGGGAACTATAATATGTCCCTATCCGATTGCGACTCCCCATTATGCACCAAGTTATTGCGCCGATTCCAAAGATTCCAAAGCAACGCAAGGAAGAGATCGAAACCTTCATTGATTAATTTGGAATGAGCAAAGGCCAACCAAGATAAAGGAGAATTCCCACTCCAATCAACAATCACAGGAGAAAGCCCTGACAACACAAGAACCGACTTAACTTTAGGGCAATCTTTAATAGCATGCAAAATCGATTCCAATTCCCGATTACACAGAGGACAAACACCATTTCCAAGATTTGCTTGTAACAATTTAGCGCCCACTGGGATAGCTTCATGACAAATACGCCATCCAAAAATTCTAATATTTGGAAGAACCCGTGCTCTAGCCACTCCGTTCCAAATTACAACCGCCACCAAGGTCGGGCTATTCCGAAGATTCAACCAGTTATAGCCAGACTTAGCTGAATAGAAGCCCGAACAATGATGTCCCCATAACATCCTATCCCCTCTAATCGGAGAAATCAACGTCTTGAGAACTTGCGCAGCATCCTCCGTCCGAAGCACTCCGAGCACCTTAGGCTCATCCAACCTAGCACACCCGGGAATCATGAAATCCGCAACCCGAACCGGTTGATCAGCATTATCCATGTATCTCTCTCTCCATTTGAAAGGGCTAGCGTCCCCCCAATTATCGTCAAACATATGAGCTTCACTATTAATACCCACTCTCCAGAAAAATCCATCCTTGAGCTCTTCTTTTGCCTTCATAAGACTTGCCCAAGCATAAGAAAAATTAGCCCCAAGTTTAGCCTTAAAAAACGACGAGCTCGGGAAGTATTTCGCTTTAAGGACCTTGAACGCCAACGATTGCTCATCCTGAATAAATCTCCAAATCTGGTTCCCAAGCAGCGCCACATTAAACAGTCTAAGATCCCTAAACCCCATCCCACCAAATTTTTTGGGCTGACAAATTTTATCCCATGCAACCATAGCCCAACCTCTAGAATTATGTTTTCCGGACCACCAATAAGATCTAGCTTGTGATTTAATGTCTTCAATTACCCCTTCCGGAAGCAGGTAGCAAGTCATAGCACAAGCAGGAAGTGCCTGAACCACCGACTTGATGAACACCTCTCGGCCTCCAAACGACAGCAATCTTTTAGTCCACCCTTGAATCCTTCTTTCCGTTCTATCTTTGATGAAGTTAAAGGCCGCCCTTTTTCCTTTCCCCACAACTAGAGGAAGCCCAAGATAATTCCCTGGCTCCGGGGCCTCAACGACACCTAACTCGCTCAAGAAGGACCCCCTATTTACAGACGGGGTATTGGGACTGAAAAAGATACTAGATTTCTCATAATTCACCTTCTGTCCGGACGCTTTCTCATATTGAGCAAGGATACTCTTAACTCTTCTCACTTCCGCCACTGAATTCTTCACAAACAAAAGACTATCGTCCGCATAAAACAGGTGAGTAACCCTTGGTCCTCTCAAACTGGCTCTAATGCCCTTGATCTCGTTCCTCCTTTGAGCCTTGAGGAGCAACGCTGATAGACCCTGAGCACAGAACAGAAACAGGTAGGGAGATAAAGGATCTCCTTGTCGGAGACCCCTCTGGGGAACAAAAGCATCAGATAACACACCATTAATACGAACTTGGAAGGAAACGGTGGAAATACATTTGCGAATAAGATTAACAAAAGGATTACAAAAACCCAACCGGGTCATAACATTCAACAAAAAGTCCCATTCCACCCTATCATACGCTTTTTCCATATCTAACTTAATAGAAGCACCCTTGTTTGGACCATTTTTAGAACGTTTAAGATAATGAAAAATTTCATGGGCCACTAAAAAATTATCAGAGATACAACGACCCGGGACAAAAGCACATTGATTCTCAGAGACACAGGCATGCATCAACGGTTTAAGACGGTTAACTATAGCTTTCGACATAACTTTGTAGATGACCGAGCATAAGTTAATCGGTCTAAAATGCTTCATTAATTTCGGGCTATCAACCTTAGGGATAAGAACAACATAGTACGATAACATAATCGAAATCCATCGTACCATTCAAAAGGCTAAACAAAGATTAACAAAATCACATCCAACAATATTCCAGAAAGATCGAAAAAATTGACCTGGAAGACCATCAAACCCAGGAGCTTTCGATGGATTAACTTGGGAAAAAGCAGTGGT